GCTATATAAATAAAATTGAATTGAATTGAATTGAATTAAACAAGTCCGTGTAAAAGGCCACTGCATGCCTTCTCATCTCAGCCAGATCCGTGGTCACCTTTCCATCCGAAAGCTGAAGACACACCATTTGCTTTCTGTGAACCACAGACTTCCCCAAATTAAAGAAAAATGTGGTTGGAGCATCCATGTCCTGGAGCCTGGCGAAACGTGCTCGAACCAAAGCTCCTTTAGCTCCCTCATGTAAAAAATGGTTAAGCTCTTGCCTTTTAGAATGTAGACAATCATTATTCTGCTGACCTAACTGTGAACCAGACACATTCTCCATATGTGTTATCTCTTTTTCAAGGTCCTGCACAGTTCTCATGATATTGGCTGTTAAAAAGAAAACTAGATCGCTGACAAAATACATGAATTTGGGACTTTTCTACCTCCCACCATTGAGTAAGGGAATCAAAATCTCCAGTAATCCCAAAAAACTAAAATTGTCACAGAATATCGATCATGCAAAATTTTTATATTAAACCGCCAAAAAGATTTGGAATTGCTGGTGGTAGATAGAAACGGGTCCATTAAAGCTAAGCGATGATCTGTAAAAACAACAGGAAAACACTGATGGTTAAAAATTCGAGCAGTAAATGAAACAGACACATAAAACCTGTCTAATCTCGCTGCACTTATCCTGCCATCAGTCACTTTCACCCAGGTATACTGCCTGGATGAGGGATGCTTCATCTGCCACGCATCAACCAAATTAATTTTCCGTAGGACATCTGATAAAACAGAAGATGACTGAAGATGTGGCTCCGCCCCAGTCCTGTCCAAAGTAAAGTCAAGACAACAATTCCAGTCCCCACCCAACACAATACAGTCCCCTTGAGCAGCACCACTTAATTTTCCTTTTAATGTTTTAAACAAAATCTCACGTTTAGACCCTAAGGTTGGTGCATAGACAATAACAAAAGTAAAACTAAAACCTTCAATTTCAGCCTTCACCAAAAGGACTCTGCCCTTTACCATCTCTATGCTGAAAATATTTCCATTTAGAGAAGGAGAAAATAAAACAGCAACTCCTGCGCTAAAATTTGTCCCATGGCTAAGAAACTTCTGCCCTCCCCACCACAGATCCCAGTCTATTTCATTTAAACTGTCAGTATGTGTTTCTTGGAGAAAGACTATATCTAGTCTCTTCTGTTTGATCACCTCAGCTAATAAGGCTCTTTGATTTGCATCCCTGCACCCATTCACATTCCAGGAGGCCGCCCTCACTAAGAACTGAGTGAAGTATGCGAGTTGATCTAAAGGATGATGTTGTTTCTCCATAGCAGAGCCACATCAGCTACGTCTGCCACCAAATGTTTAATCAGTGATGCACCAGTCAAACTTTCTAAACACCAGACCAAGCCCTTCTCAGGTCTCTTTCACTTCACCTCATCGTGCTTTCCATCAGGGCCGAGGCAAATGGTAGAGTGCGTCTCCAATTCCTGGAAAGCACAACAGTTCTGAAGATGTCACAGGAACCAGTGTTGTAGAATCTGCCGTCTGCCATCAGAACAGTTGAAGGTTTTCTTCAGACTGGTTTATTTTGTACTTGTGTGATAAAGGTCTCAGATCTCAGACATAAACTCTGTGTGATCTGTACGCACGTAGCAGCTATCACTGTCTAACCTATGAACAAATTCAAAAACGGTATCAAAATTAAAATAAGTATTAATCATCTATTGAAGTAAATTTGGCTTCATACTTTTACAATTTAGCTGAAAAGTAAACATGTTATGGTGGAGGAAAGTTCCCCAGCCCTGTTTTAAAGGTTGGTTTAGTGCTTCAGCCTCTATCCATTTTCTGTGGGATTCTTGTGTTTTATGTCCAGTGGCAGTGATTAGACACATAATGCTGGTGCAGACATTGAAACAGTTTGTCAGAAGGTGTCTGTCTTTGGCAGCATGTTTTTATTTATTTATTTTTTTCACAATGATCGTTAACAGCTCGCTGTGTTCGTTGTAGCTTAAAAAGGGGCCACCGGTGCCTCCTCCACCAAAGGTCACACCAACCAAGGAGGTGGCAGAGGAACAGATCATCGACCTCTTTGGTGGAGAATTTTTACCTGCTCCTTCGCCATCACAGGTATGAGTCCATGTGAATAATGACGGCAGATGTCGTGTGGGTGACAGACTTGCTTACTTGTTTTTGCACTGTCATCTGCAGCCCAATGAACGGCCCGGCGAATCTCTTCTTGATCTGGACTTTGATGCTTTTCAACCAGATGAAAGCGTTTCACCAGTACCACAGGTTCCCTTTATTACCCGAAAGCATCCACACATACACCTGAAAACCATAGCAGTGCACAGGTCTTATTTCTGACATCTCGGCAGGAGCGATTGAGAGCTGAGTCTTCACTTACTGTAATGATGACAATGGGAAGCAAACTGATAAATAATTCACCTGCTATCAGCTAACAGACTAGAAGACAGGTGGCGTTTCAGCTGCTGACACACCTGTTAGTAGCTCTTCGGTCCTTAATTCTCAGATTAGATTTTTATATTTCTTCTTGTTGTAGTAAAAATTACTTCTGAAGATAAGCAGTTTTATATGGATTTTCTTAAACTGTAATATATTTGACAAATCAAACAGTCCAAACATTGTTCCTTTCTTCTTGCCAGTACCTCACAAACTGTGTTAGTTATTCAGTATTTTTGCTCCTTTCAGACTGCTGTACCATGGGACATGTGGTCGGTGAGTAACTAACCCTAACCCAACTACTTCTTATTCTACAGCTTGATTTAATGAGAAAACGATCAAGTAAATCTATAAATCCAGATTGCAGTGTTAAATTCAGTTTTATCCCCTTTTTAAGGCAAATACTCAAGCTGCTCAGCCTGTAAGTAAACTCGCATAGTTCACTCTGTAATACATCATTTATTAATAAAGTTATTCACTCCATCAGATGGTCTTGTTAATCCAGTATAGTCTGCACAAAGTCAACGCTGGTCAACAAATGGATCTTTCTGGGTCAGTTTTTCTTTCTTTGGAAATGTAAATCATTATTTTACTCAGTTGTGTTATCGCTGAAGAGCTGTTGCCACATATTTACAATTTCCACAGTTTAAAAAAACATTATCAAAAAGAGGAGATGGAGCAGTTAGTTAAATTCAGGAAGCCCCACAAAATTTATTCTGTACATCTGGATGCATCGTTCCAAAATACCGTGTCCAGAAGAACAGAATACATTTTCTGGGCTTTCCTGACATAGATAATTGAGCATTTATCAAGACCAAGACTTATGGGAGATTTCCCCAAGGCTGGTTGTCTTACCCCTGTTTAGTTTAAGACAAAAATATGTTAACCACTTATACACCAAAACACAGCATAGGTTCTCGGAAGCTGTAATCTTATAGTGTTTACATGTGTAGTGGTACTAGTAGTATAACCTTTTTAAAATTAGTTTGGGGGAAAAAATCATATAACTGGTTTAAATTAAAACCCCATTATCTCATATTTAACTTTCTCTAAAATGGATTCATTCATGTTGTGAATTTTAGGTGTGTGGATTAAAAAAGAAACAACACAAACAAACACATACCTAGAACCACCGACTAATTCATTTTGACCCCAAAGAAATTAATGCACAACAGTTGCAGCATGCCTGGTTGCCAAGCAACACTCTTTATTTGCACATGAAGACTGTTTGACATGAAGACTGCTGTATCAGAACAGCTGAGACATGGTGTCTCTTTCAGACCCCAAAATATGCCACTCCAAAAATTGGTCCACCCCAGGGATCGGGTCCCCTGACACAAACAGAGTAACATAGTGTACGCTGTTAAGTACCAGGAGGATTGCCAGGATTTATACATCGGGGAAACCAAACAACCTCTGGCGAAGCGGATGGCACAACACAGAAGAGCTACCTTGTCAGGCCAGGACTCTGCAGTCTATTTACACCTACAGGCCAGTGGACACTCTTTCAATGATGAGGATGTAACATCCTGGACAGGGAGGAATGCTGGCTTGAGGGTGGAGTCAAGGAGGCTATTTACGTGAAAAGGGAAAGACCATCTCTGAATCGAGGAAGTGAATGGCATGTCATGGCCATTGACCAAAGGTCATGACAATTTGTATGTTGTTAACGCCATAACCACATTAACGTGGCAAATCCCTGTTAGCGAGTTATCGCGGATCGGCCCGTGCGTGGGGCTGCACGGCGTCAAGGCGTTATTGTGGTTAGATCATTAATGTGTTGATAGTGACTATACACAGTGCAGGTAGAACACAGTTTCCCCCTCCTGAGTCACCTGACGATTTGCCAGAATCTCTCTGAAAGTCTTTTTCCATGGCCTCTCCAAACTCCTGCTACACAAGTTTTTGCTTCTTCCACTGCCTGAGCTGCATTACGCTTGGCCTGGTACGTATCAGCTGCCACAAATTCCACAGGCTAACTGAGCCCGATAGGATTCCTTTTGCAGCCTGGTGGCTCCCTTCATCTCTGGTGTCTACAATTTGGTTTGGGGGTTACCACCATAACAGGCACCAACCACGTTGTGGCCACAGCTCAGTGCAGTGGCTTTGGCAATGGAGGTGCTGAACATGGTCCATTCAGACTCAATGTCCCCAGTCTCCTTCAGAATACTGCCGGAGGTATATGTCGAAGATCTCACGGGCCTGGGCCTCTGCAAGGCGTTCACTCACTATATGAGTTTGTCTAGCGTCCTCCCCTGCTGCCTGATTGAACTCACTACCAGGTGGTGATCAGTTGATGGCTCAGCAGCTCTCTTTACCAAAGTGTCCAGAACATATGGCCTTAGGTCTAATAATACGATTACAAAATTGATCATCGACCTGCAGCCAAGAGTGTCCTGGTGCCTGGTGCACTTATGGATACCTTCATTTTGTTTGTTATGGACAAGCTGTGATTTGCACAGAAGTTCAACATCAAAAATACCACTCAGGTTCAGATCCAGGAGGCCGTTCCTCCCGATCTAGAGTCATTTCTTTATCCAGAGTTGCACTAACTCAGGCTTCTTTCAAGACAGATGTGACATGTCCCAACTGCTAGTCTTGGTAGCTGAGGATTGGTCAGACAGGGCCTCCGCTACTGGCTGCAGCCTGACATCCAGCTCCTACGGCACTTCCTGCAGTTGGTGGGCCTACAAGAGGACGGGCCCATGTCCCTTTTGTCAGGTTGTGCCCCGCCAGGCCGCATGAACTAAGGCCCAGCCACCAGACCCTTGCCCTCAGGCACCATCCCTGGGCCTGCCTTCAGGGTGAGACCCCAGTAACCCTATCCAGGGCAGGGTAAACTGTTCCCTTAATGGTATACTACCATTGGGGCCCTGCAAGGGGACATAAGCCCACCTGCAAAATAACCCCTAGGATCCCTGGGACACACAAACCCTTCCACCATGATAAGGTAGCGATTCATGGAGGGGAAACAAATTAGGCATAATATCAGAAAGTATATTTAAAAAGAAAGCTCTTGAAAGAGCCATGTTGGGTGTTTTGAAGCTTTTCCTAATGGCATGTAAATCAATTCCAGGAATCAGATACATTTCTAAAAGGTATATAAAAGGAAAGATGGGAAAAGGGAGGATATTCTAAAGTTAACCAGAAACTTGGGAAAAAATATCAGTACCAGTGGAAAAGTACCTCCTCTTTTTCCTTCAGAGAGTTTGGATGGGAGAACTTTTCAGAGCTTCAGTGCAATGTAGGTTTCTCCACGGGGAACTAACTTGCTGGAGATCCTGAGGTGAAAAGCATAGAAACCACTTCCATATTTTCTGGTCTTGCCCACAAATCAGCACATACACAAGACATTAGAAAAAAACATTTAAAGTAACAATTCTGTTATCATTTGATACCCTGTACTTAGTTTCCAAATTTCCAACTTTGGAGGGTGATAAGAAGTATTTGTTAGTAGCCGGTAAGAAAGCACTCAACAGGAAGTAACTAATTAAATCTCCCCTTCAACTGAAGTCTGGGTTGATGTGATTTACAATATTTATGTGATGTGAGAAGCTGACTCTTATTTTGAGACAGGAGTTGGAAAAAAAATCACACTCATCTGGAAACCCTGAACTCACTACACCAGATCCTCTAAGATTTGAATTTTAATAAATAAATAAATTTATTAAAATGAACAGATAATTTTCTTATCTCGAGTAAAATGCTAGTCACTATTCTCCACTGGTTTATTAGTTTTGTTTTCGTCTTTCCTTCTCTGTTTTGTTACGCTAATGATAATTATGGACCAAAAGTGCATTCAACTCAATTGTAACACTTATATTTTCTGAAAGAAAACTTGAATAACACACATCTATCTATCTCCTAGACTTCAGGAAACACAGCCTGCCTCTCCATATCAATGTCACTGGGGTGAAAAGAGCTTATGGCCACACATTCCTTGACATTCACATGTCATGGACCCCTGAGGTGGATTGTAAATGCCACAGTGACAATGGGCCAAGCAGTGGCTTTATTTCATCAGGGTGTTTAGGAAGGAACCGGCTGCTTCATCACTAAAGCCTACAGAGGACTGGTGGAGAGCGTTGTCATTACTAGCGCCATTGTATGTTATGAAAAACACCACTCAGGCATAGAAGGCTCTCAAGAGAGTCATAAAGGCTACAGAGAGAATTATAAGAGCTAATCCTCCATCAATTGACTCAACATACACACAACTCTGCAAGAAAAGAGCCCAAAACATCATCAGAGACAGTTATCATCCAGGTCACACGTCCTCAGACCAAAACAATCATGGATCGCATGCAGCTCGAGATGCAGGAGAGTGGACGTGCTGATCACGAGACGCTCTCACAACTGCTTCTTTCCTACTACAGTCAGACTGATGGCAAAAACTAAATAAGGACTAACTAAATCACACACAAAATCTAATTTACTCAGTGTGATATATATTTCAATGTGCAAACCCTGTGAAAATGGTCAGGTACAAGGCACTAGAATAAAAATGCAGCAGCTAATGTCTAATGGGACTATGGGTCAGAGTCCCATTGAAATTAAAGTTATGGCTATATCTGCATTCATTAAAAAAATAATCATCTACTTTACATCTAAGATGACTGCTGAGTTGTACACGTTGCTTCTTCAGGGACCTGACCGATTCTATAGACTACAGTCAAATGAAGGCAAAATGCCCCCCAAAAGTCCAACAGTTTGACTAGAAGGTTTCTAATCTAGTGGTTTTTTTTTTTCTTTGATTGTTTATTTTAAAACTTCCCCTTGAAGTTACATTGAAGCAGTGCAGGTGCTTCAATCAGAAAACTGAAACAGTTTGATCAGCTGTGACTGGTCATCTTTGTGCAGACGACACTGTATTCTCATTTCCTTCCATGAAACCACATGTCTGCCTGATAACATGCTGTGTTGCACAACCTTGTACTGAGGTTAGAGTGGGGAGGGGCAAACTTTAATTCATCATTCGCTACCTGTCCAAGCAGGCTGCAGATACCGGCTTTGTCGCTGACTGGTCTGCTGATTTTGGTTCAGTGTCAGCCAACGGAGAAGATGCTTCAGGAGCTGAGGAACCTGCTATCCCTGGAGGTCCGACTGTGGGGCAGGAAGGGGCACAAGAAGGGGTGCAGGGTGAGACTCGGGGCTGGCCCCAGGGAGAAGGGATTCAGCCAGGTGGAGAATCAACAGCAATCACCCGGGACAGTGAAATCACACCAGCTGAAGATGAGGTTAGCTGCTGGGAATCTCAACCTAACTCCAACCTTCATTCCTCCCTGTGCTGTGGAGAGGATGATAGTACAGAGCAGGCAGATTCAGGGGCAGATGAATTAAGGAAGGAAGATCGCAGAAAGTCTACCCCGGGACTTATATTCACCAATGAGTACGGTGAACAAATTGAGGAAATTGCAGAGGACAGAGGAGACAAATGGTCCAGGTCTCCTGAAGGGTCAGGATCTGAATATGAAACTGCTGAGGAGTGGGGTGATGGTGGTCAGGGAGGAGGCTGGGCAAGTGCTGATGATGAGCTTTCATATGATGATCGAACCCAAGAGAAGAGCCAGAAGGTTCAGGCAGGTGGAGCTGTCCCAGGAGATTGTCCTCAAACAAGAGAAGTTGTTTCCGATTGTTCTAGTATTGCAGCCAAAAGAAACAGAAATAATTCATCCGAAGCAGTGCCAGAGAGACCAGATGTTTATCAAGATCACTGTGAAACTGAAGGAGAAACAGATGAAAGAGTTTATTTCTCTGAAACACAGGGAGGTGCGTTTGATTTTGATCTTATCTCAGAAAAACAGGGAGGAGGTGCGTTTGATTCCGATCTACTTGCAGAAACTTGTGGAGGAGGTGCGTTTGATTCCGATCCTTTTGCAGAAACACAGGGAGGAGGTGCATTTGATTCCGATCCTTTTGCAGAAACACACGGAGGAGGTGCTTTTGATTCAGATCTTATTGCGGAAACAAAGGGAGGAGGTGCGTTTGATTCCAATCCTTTTGCAATAACTCAGGGAGGAGGTGCATTTGCTTCCGATCCTTTTGCAGAAACAAAGGGAGGAGGTGCGTTTGATTCTGATCCTTTTGCAGAAACAAAGGTAGGGGGTGCGTGTGATTCAGATCTTATTGCGGAAACAAAGGGAGGAGGTGCGTTTGATTCCGATCCTTTTGCAATAACTCAGGGAGGAGGTGCGT